AGGGTTTTAGGGTTTTAGGGCTTTAGGGGTTTAGGGGTTTGGGTTTAGGGTTTTAGGGTTTTATGGTTTTAGGATTTAGGGCTTTAGGGTTTAGGGCTATTGGGCTTTAGGGCTTTAGGGTTTTAGGGTTTAGGGTTTGAGGGTTTAGAGTTTAGGGTTTAGAGAGTTTAGGGTTTAGGGTTTAGCCTTTGGGGCCAACAAACCCTTCTAAGCAGGGGCCCTGTACCTTTACACTATGAACCCTATGGTATGTGAACCTTAAGCTCTTTTTAAGGTTCATGTCGTCCTTAAGCAATTTTAGGGTTTAGACCAATCCCGTGACCCCAAACCCTACAAAATCGAAGGTTATGACACTTTAATTCGAGGGTAGAGCCCTTAAAACCCTAAACCCCTAAACCCTGACCCCTAAACCCTAAACCCCTAAATCCCTAAACCCTAAACCCCTCAAGCCCTAAACCCCAAACCGGAGGTTCATGGATCCCCAGAATGAAGACTTTCCGGTCGAAGTAAGACGCGGCTGGAGGGGCGTCAGTCCCAGGCAAAAAAGACCAAGCCGCCGAAACCAGACCAATAGGATCCTTGAGTCTTCAACCCAAAAGGTTTAGGGTTTAGGGGTTTAGGGTTTGGGGTTAAGGGGTTTATAGGGTTTAGGGGTTTTGGATTTAGGGTTTAGGGTTTAGGGTTTGGAATGCTTTCCCAAATCATGAAAAGAACTCCTACTACAGAAACCCTGTACAGTCTGCTATAGAGGTAGAGGGACCCTTGCGTCGTCCGTTTGGGGCTTCAGGGGTCAAGGCTTATTGGATTTGGGGTCTGGGGCTTAGGATCTGTAGAGTGTAGGGCCAAGGATTTCAGATTTGATTTGTAGGCTGTTGGGCTTAGGGCGTAGGAATCAAACAATGAGAAGTCATAGCTAGTCGTAACCCAAAACTAGGGACAGGGTTTGGCACCTACTAACTACGCTATGCTGTAGGTTCGGCGGACTAAGGTGAGTCGTAGTACCCAAGCCACGAACCCTGTCTATTACGCTCCCTACGCTCCCATACCTGTGGCCCCAAACCCTGAACCATCGCCAAAACTACTGTCACTAGGATCTTCAGCATTCTGAAGTGCTCTAAGTTACTTGTCGGGTTCAGGGTTTTGATTGCCGGGAAACGGGTGGTCGTTGAGCTCCTGCCTCCTGTGGTGCCTCCACCTCGCCAGGGATGTCCTGGCTGCATTACCGTCCAGGAAAGGTTTAGGGCCCTAAACCCAAAACCCAACAAAGGCTTAGGGTGGTGGAAAGAACCAAACCCTCGACCCAAAAGCCTTCAAATCCTAAACTCGTATGGGGCCCGTATATAAAACTAGAAACGAGTTTGAAGCATAGTATAGCATATGTATACCCATAGGGTCTAGGGCTTAAAATTCAGGATGCATAGAAACATATAAGTATATCTGTATATGTAGACATGTATATATATATATATAGACCGCAAGGGGATATGGTTAGTGATTCTTCCGCTCCCTGCATTACATGCGAGACCAGTCCGTGGAAGCTCAGTTGCCGAAACATCGGAGTTGGGAGACTTCCCCAAAGGCTCCATGTACTTTTATAGTAGATACTTAGGCCTTAAAGGGGTCCCCATATAGGTACTTTAAGGCCTAAGTATCTACTATAAAGGTACATGGACCCTTTGGGTTCAGGACAGGTTCTTGCAGTTCCCTCGTGCCCTAAACTACCCTAAACCCTAAAATCCTAAACCCTAAGCCCTAAATCGTTTAAACCCCCAGCCCTGATTCCTAAACCCTAAACCCTAAAGCCTATAATGGCCTATAACCCAAAACCCTAAATTACGGAAGGCTCAGGGTTTAGAGCTTGGAGATTTAGGTTTCAGAGTTGTCAGGGTTCAGGGTTATAAAGTTTTCGGGTTTAGGGCTTCAGGGTTTAGGATATGGGGTTCAGGATTCAGGGTTTAGGGCTCAACGGGCTTATAGGACGGGTAGAGTTTTAGGGTTTAGGGGTTCAGGGTTTAGGATTTAGGGTTCGGGATTCAGGGTTTAAGGTTTAAGGGGTTAAGAGGGCCGAATATCATACACAGGGAACTTGTTGCGCAGAAGAGGCTAGATGCCAATACCCAAGACTCCCAGAAGCTAGAAAGTAGTACAGGTTTGTGGAGAGCAAGTTCTGTTAGGATCCGACACAGAAACTAGGGTAACCTCAGACATATACAACCTAAACCTAAGAATCCGACACAGAAACTTGGGTAACCTCAGACATATACAACCTAAACCTACCAAAACCCACTGTTTGTAGGTTCTTCATATAAACCCGAATGTAGAATTTCTATTCACCTTACGAAAAATATAAGTTTTGGTAGGTTGAAATATTTTTTTTCGGGTTTGGGGCTCGATTCGGTTCCTAGGAGTTCCCTTCGTGGCCTAGTCCGGCCCAGTAGCTTCTGGTAAGGTGTAGGGTTTAGGGCAGTGTACGAAATTTCCGGTCCTGGCTTTCTCATAAGAAAGAACGGGAGCCGGTCAAAGTTAGCACAAAATCACCTCTTTACCCTTCCATCTGGACAGAACGCTTGTAGAGTACCGTCATCAAAATCAGAAACCCTAAGCCACTTAACATCACAGGCCCAGAAACCGTAAGTTCACTTATGATGTCTGCCCCTGTCGTCTGCCCCAAATCCCTGAGCCGTTCCCTTCGCCTAAACCCTAAAACCTGACCCCTAACTCTTAAACCCTAAACCCTAAACCCTGGCCTAACTCAACATTTCCCTGATAGATCCAACCCTAAGGCTCCGGGGACAGAGGTCCCAAAGCTGAGTCATCAAAGCACAAACCCTCCCCCAGGTAGCCCATAACCCTCTTGGGAGCCTTAGGGGAATCCCCTGGACCCTAAACTCCTAAACCCTAAACCCTAAAACCTTAATCCCCTAGACCCTAAACCCTGAACCCCAAAACCCTAATCCCCTAGACCCTAAACCCTCTTAGGAGCCTTGGGGTACTTCCCAAGCCCTATGACGTCCTGCTTGCCGCACTGGTTGCCGGCAAGGGCATCATTCAGCTGCTGTAGCTTCTCCTCTAGCACCCCGAGCAAACACACACAAGCAACATTAGGATAGGGAGATGCCTTACATATCGTATACATGCACACACACACACACACATATATATATATATATATATATATTGATTGATTGTGTATGTTTATGAGAGAGAGAGCGGGAGCGAGAGCGAGAGAGAGAGAGAGAGAGATATATATATATATATATATAGGTAGAACCCGTTTTAAGAACAATCAACGAGGTAAGGTAGAGATATCCTTGTAAAGTGCTTATGCTATGTACTTCTTTCCCCCCCATGGCTTCTTTGGAGCCCGGCTGAGTACAGCTACCCTAAGCCCAAATAGGTCTAGGGCTTAGGGTTTGGGGGTTTAGGGCTTGGGCTTAGGGTTTAGGGTTTAAGGGATTAGGCCTTGAATTTTCTTAGGGCTTCGGGTTTGGGGGTGTTGGGCTTCGGAAAACGATCCTTTTGGGGTTCCTTACAATGATTTCCTTACAGAAGTCTTTGAAAAGGTATAGCAAAACCCTAGAAGTTGGAAACCGGATTAAGGACAATTCGTGCTGGGATTCCCGATGCATTGCTTCTAATTGGGTTTCCAACTTTTGGGCTTCTGCTGTAGATTTTGTCAGGGTGCAGGTAGCGCTTCGATGGGTTCAGGGTTTAGGGCTGATTTTAGGGTCTGGGGCTTAGGGCTTCAGGGGTTTGGTATGCCTACAGAGCTAGGGTGTATCGAAATTGTGTAAAGTCTGGAGTTTGGGGTTTAGGGGTTGAGGGTTTTGACCCAAAGTTGTGGTTTTCATTCGTGCGGGCCGCATCCCCTGGTTACTGAACCCTCTCCCTGAATACGGGCTTAGTGGTGATCCTACTGCCAAAGCCGTCAATGAAAGGTGGCTGATCAACTGTATCCGAAAATACTGACAGAAGCGGTCTTTTGGGCCCTAAACCCTAAACCCTAAATCCCAAACACTTGAGACGCAGGGCTTTGGCTCATTCATGCATTCACGGATTTTTGTTGGGTGTAGTGCCTTGGCGTGCAGGAGTTTAAGGTCTAGGGCTCCGGCGGCGAGTATAGGGGCTTTAATGGTTAGAACAGGGTTTTGGGGCCCATTATACCATATTTCTAATAAGGAGCCCCCAACATAGTATTGGTAATTACTAAGGCCCCTACGTTGGGACCGTTAGGGCTTTGAGCGGAGTCTTCAAGATTCGGTTGGCAGTTTTGTGCTTTCTGGGCTGTCGAAGCCATGAGGTTGAAGGTCTAGAGCCCTAAACTTCTAAACCCTAAACTCCCTAAACTCCCTAAACCCTAAACCAAGTTTAAGGCCTAAACCCTACACTTCTCAACCCTAAACCAAGTTTAAGGCCTGAACCCTACACTTCTAAACCCTAAAGAAGCAGCTCTAGAGCATCCAGGATTCTGGTTCGCGGAGTTTCGAGATCTAGGCAAACCCTGCAAACTACACACCCGAAACAGAATTTTAGGGTTTAGGGTCTAGGGCTGCGGCTAGGGTTCCTGAAAGGGATCTATAAGGGTTTCTAATGATAAGCCAGGTTCCTGAGTGACCCCGATGAAATAAGGGCACCCTTTTCTCCTGGTATTCAGTCTTCATACGGAACCATACAATAAAAGGGCAAAAGGGTCATACTCAGAAACCTCGTAAACGTACCCTGCCATGGGTTCTCCTCGCAGGATACTTATGATGGTCTTACAAGAGTGAGACATCTTCAAGCATGTGATGTAGGTGTTTAAACTCGCTAAGGAACCCGATAGATACTTGCCAAATCCAAACACAAGCCCCGTTGTGCAAACGGTGTCGTTCTGGGTTGCTTTTTGCGCAGGTGCGTACAAAGGTGTACCACAAAGTGAGGTCAGCAGCAGGAAATCAAAACCCAATACATCAATAATCATTAACGATGCTGCTGAGCACAATGGGCGGCTGCTTACCCAACTAAGTGAGAGGTCGAGAGAGTTCGCCGCTTCCCTCGTCGGTTCGGCGCTTGCCGCTGGCAGGTTCATCAAGTCCGGAACCTCTCAAGAACCCCAGGGCTGCAAACAGGAACAGGCAGCTAGCATAGGCTGCACTCATGAGGGTATTCCAGGAGGTCTGCTGTGGAAGGGCAGCACACAGAGCAGAGACTGCGGCCACCTCCATGACGTAGTGGACAGCTGCAGCTCGAAACTCTGCACCTGCGCCCTCGTCTGCAGCTAGACGGTTGAGAGGCAACGTCTCATGCCACACCTTGAAGTTGTGCATGTAGAAAGCAACAGACAAGATCAAGACCCTCGGCCAACACCACACCCATACTGACATCAGCGTGGCATCACTGGTTCCACCCATCACAACAACTGCAGCAATCAAACCTCCCCATCTGTAGGAGAGGAAGGTAAAGAGCCATACGGCATCGACCTCCTTAGCCTTACCGCCTCCTGTCTGCACGCAATTGATCACGAAGGAAACGGCGAACACGGCTCCTGCAAGGGCCGTCGCGTAAAGGGTCACCCCACCCAGTGTGTAGGCATGGATCGCTGATAGGACGCACAAGGTGAGCACCGCCACAACGTCTGTCCACATCTTCCAGCTGTAGCGTGTCCCGTCCAGCCAGTAGTTCAGCGCAGCCACCAACCTGTTCTGGTAATTTCAACATGAGAAGGATCTATGGAAAATCAAAGAGGGTCCTTACTATGACTATGGTAACTTTACGAGTTCCCTACCTAACAAAATCCGCATAGATCCCACACATGTACACCCTAAGCCCCCAAACCCTAAACCCCAAAACCCCTACACCCCCAGAACCCCCACGACCCAGAACTAAACGCCAACAACCTAAACCCCAAGACCCTCTTAACATAAGCCTAAACCCTAAATCCGAAAAACCCTAAACCCTAAAAACCCTAAGAGCCCCCAAACCCTAAAAACATCTAAAAGCCCAAAACCCTAAAAAGCAAAACCCTAAACCCTAAAAGCCCTAAAACCCTGAAAACATCTGAGAAACTGAAACCCTAAAAACCCTAAACCCTAAAAGCCTTGAACTCAACACTCTCAAAACCTTAAACCCTAAAAGCCCTAAACCCTAAAAGCCAAGAGCCCTAGACCCTAAAGACCCTGAACCCAAAAGCCCTAAACCCTAAAAAAGGCCAGCAGCAGGAAGATGCCAGCGGCCCAGAGGACCCAGAGAAGCCCAGGCCACTCCTTATTTCACCAATAAGCCAGGGAAATAAAAGGTTAAACTTTCAGGTTACTACTAAACTATCCTAAACTATCCTAAACCCTAAACCCTAAATCCTAAACCCTAAACCCTAAAACCCAACAACTTTAAAGCTGGGGCTTTTGGGGAAGCTAAGACTCCGGGAGGTCCAAGCTCCAGGCTGCGGGGACCAGGAACCACCTGGGGATCCGCAAACCTACCGCTTAGGGCTTAGAAAATTTAGGGCTTAGTCTAATTTAGGGCTTAGATAATTTAGGGTTTTAGGGTTTAGGGTTTAGTCTAGTTTAGGGCTTTAGGGTTTAGGGTTTAGGGTTTTAGGGCTTAGGGTTTAGAGTTTAAGGTTTTAGGGTTTAGGGTCTAGGGCTTTAGGGCTTTCGGGTTTAGGGTTTAGGGCTTTAGGGTTTAGGGCTTTAGGCTTTAGGGCTTTGGGTGTAGGGCTTAGGGCTTTAGGGCTTTAGGCTTTAGACTTTAGGGTTTAGGGTTTGGGGCTTTAGGGTTTAGGGTTTAGGGCTTTAGGGTTAGGGCTTTAGGGTTTAGGGCTTTATGGTTTAGGGTTGAGCGTTTAGGGTTCAGGGTTCAGGGTTAGGAGCCTTAACAAGTAGAACAAGGCTTTTTAAAGGTTTCCGTTTTTAAAGGTGTTTATAAAGGCTTCGGGCTTCTGTTTTTAGATTAGCTCGGGGCTTCGATCGCTGATAGGAGTTGCGGGTGTGTTGAGGGGCTTTTTGAAGGCAAGAGGGATCTGGGCTCTTTGGCGTTGGAAAGGTCATGCATTAGGTTTAGGGTTTCGGGTTCAGGGTTTAGGGTTTAGGGTTTAGGGTTTAGGATTCCGGCTAAACCCTAAACCATAAGCCCTAACAAAGTCTAAACCCTAAACCCTAAACCCTCAACCCTAAACCCTAAACCATAAGCCCTAAAAAAGTCTAAACTAGGTTCAGGGGATCTGCAGCAACCCCCCCCCCCCCGAAAGTTGTGCTGGGGATGAGTCTCAGAGGTGAAGAGAGTTGCAGTCATACATCGGAGTTAGGGTTTAGGGTTTAGGGTTTAGGGTTTAGGGTTTAGGGGCCTCAAAAGGTGGGATGAAGGTATATAGGTAGGATGAAGGATCCCTTTTATAAGGACTCTTATATCCCACCTACCGTCATCCCACCTTTTGAGGCCTCCGTATACACCGTGGGTAGAAGAGTATCCTGAACCATCGTAAACCCTGAAGCCTGTGCTCCAAACCCCTTTAAAACCGAACCCCTAAACCTGAATCCAAACTAAATGCTAGCGTTCGTCCGGCCTTAGCGGGCCGTGCGGCATCTCCTGCAGAAGCTGCAGCAGCGAGCTTCGCGTCGCCTGGCAGATACTGCAGGGGCCTTAATAATCAGAATGGGCTCCTTCCAAGGGGTGTTTAAAAAGTTCTATAAAGGTTAGTATAAGAGCTACTATAAGGGTTGAGTGTAGGGCGCCTTAATAAGTAGAATAGGGCTTTGGGGTATATGCTACTATAGTTATAATCAGGAAGTAGTATAGGTGAAGGGGCAATAGGAGGGACCCCTAGCAGGGACCCCCAATCCAAATGCTCGGTATACCCCTTTTATACCCCTGAGATAGTCTCATAAAGCCCCTACAAAAACCCAAGGTCGCTTTAAGGGTCCCTCCTTTAGTCCCTTGTATAGGTAATTCTTAAAGGCCCCTATATTACACTCGGATGCACTTAGGGTTGGGGACTCAGGGCTGGGGGTCTAGGGTTAGGGTTTAAGGTTTAGGGTTTAGGGTTTAGGGTTTGGGGTTTAAGGTTTAGGGTTTAGGGTTTAGGGTTTAGGATTTATAGGGTTCAGGGTTTATAGGGTTTAGGGTTTGAGGTTTCGGCTTTAGGATTTAGGGTTTAGGGTTTAGGTTTTGTTTTTTGGTTTAGGGTTTAAGGTTTTGAGGTCTAGGGAGGGGGCTTAGCATCTAGGTCAGAGCTTGTGGTTCCTCGCTCGTAAAACGGGGCTGTAACAACTAGAATAGAGATTACAAGATGAGTATATCAGGAGTGTCAGGGCATGTCGGTAATTATTCGCATACTAGTTCTTGAGACCCCGTATTACTCTACCTAAGGCTATCAGGACCTATACTTTACGGACCTCAAAAACCAAAACCCTCACTACACCCTGAACCCTACACCATGTAAGGCTTTTCTGCGCGGAGTTCCCAAATCCGAAATCCACGTTTAGGTTTATGGTTTAATTAGGGTCTGCGGGTGGCCGCAAAGGAATACGTGCGATTTTGCAGGCGCCAAACCCAAACTCCTGAAACCTAACGCCACCTCCCTAGACCCTCAACCCTTCCGGCGGCCAACCCAAACTCTTCGCGCTCCTTATCACGATTTACTTGCATACCCCTTTTTGAAAGTAGGTCTACTAAACCCTAAACCCTAAACCCTAAACCCTTGGGGGGGACAGGATTGAAACACTTAGTTGGGAGTCCACCTCGTGCAGCGCCTCGGGCCACTCCAGGGCACCCGGCGACTGGCAGCTCAGGCACTTCGCAAGGGCTTGTGGTTGAGGAGTTTAGGGTTAAGGGTTTAGGGTTTAGGGTTTAGGGCTTATGGTTGAGGAGTATTGTCTCCAGAAATCCTACATTTGTAGGATCCTACGATGATTTCCTAGAACCCCCAACATCTGTCAAGCCTGGCTGTATACCAGCAGACGCTTCGACACCGACATGAGCCTGAGCCCTCAAAGAACCTGTGCTCTAGCAGGGGGAGGGCAAAAGGCTTCGGTTTAGGTTTAGGGTTCAGAGGTTAGGATTGACAGCTTTTGGTCGTAGCTCAAACCTTGTCGGGCTTGCCAAGTTGCTTGTGGAATATGTTGAAATGCGTGCCTGTGTAGATCATCGCAGGTGGTTTATGGACGGCGTGTCACCCCAAAGCCTAAACCTAGAACCATTCAAACCGAACCCTTACCCGCACACCCTAAACCGGTAGCTTCGGAGATGCTTACAAGTCGAAAAAATTTCCCGAATTATGAGAACCCCAGAAGCTCAAAGACTAGCTTTCGGAGGAGTCAGCGACTCATACCAAACCAAAAGTCAACAATCGATACAAGAAAGAAGAGCTTTTGAACCAAGAACTCTGTGCCAGCTTTTCCAGTCAAGTTCTGCGTACGGTTTACCCTAAACCCTGAATGCCAGCTTGCGTTGACCTCTAGACGACGACTTTCGGTGTGTTTAGGGTGTCGGGCTTTAGGAGTCACGGCTCCGGGACTTGTGGCGTTAGGGCCGGTACTTAAAGGATCATGGGACATAGTAACTAAGGTTGTGATTACGATAATTATACTTATAACTACTTATAACACCAATTTAGGTACTTATGACCATACGTACTAAGTCCCATGATCCTCCAAGTAGGGTCTACAGCTTATGGTTTAGGGCTCAGGGCTTAGATCCCAGGGCTTAGGACCAAGTCCAGGGTGAAGGGTTTAGGGTTTAAGATTTAGGGTTTAGGATTTTTCGACTCAGTGTACCAACAATAGAAGGTTTGGGTTTAGGGTTTAGGAGTTAGGGTTTAGGATTCCTCGAGTCAGAGTACCAACAGTAGAAGGTTTGGGCAAGAAGTTCTTCCAGGTTACTTCTAAAGATCCAAGTGCTGCCCGCAAAGAGGCTCCGACTTCTGTAACCCGAACGGCCTAGACCCTAGAACCCAACTGAACCTTTCTGGGCCATACAGACCCATGAACACTCCTTTAGCAAGCCTCGGCAACCCTAAACCTTAGCCTCCAAACCTCCTTCAGTATTCAGCGAGCCGTCGGCAAACCCTAAACCCAAATTTATCCCGTAAACTCCTTCAGTATTCAGCGTGCCTGCAGTGAGATGTGGAAGTCTTTGTCAGCCTCTGTCAGTTCTCTGCGGATCTCTGACTCAAAGTTCCGCACAGACTCCTCCAGAAGCCTCACCTGCACAGCTTAGGACTTACTTGTACCTTAGAAAACCTATACATGTTCAGGCTCCTCACCAGAACTTCCCTTTGAATAGTTCTCTAAATGAGGGTCTCTTTTAGGGTCCCTTTTATAAGAGTGCCGTACTATCTTGGGGACCTGAAAAGGACCCTAATTTAAAGAACCCCCCAGAAAAAAACAAAAAAAAACCTGAAATATGGTTTACTTGGGGTTCCGGCAGGATGTGGGTCTTAGAGCTGAGGGGCGGTAGAGTTTGGTCTTTGGGTGTTTTGGGACTTCGGGTTTAGCGGGACTCCCTTCGAACAGCCCATAAGAACACCCTTAACGAAACCCTTCAAGGTTAATGTAACCCTTCAGGGAACCCGTAGCGAAACCCTTCAAGGAACCGTTAAAGGACTCTTGAAGGAACCCTTGAAGGAACCCATAAAGGAAAGGAACCCTTTAAGGAACCCTTGAAGGAACCCTTCAAGGAACCCTTAAGGGTTCCTTAAAGGATCAGGGTTCAGTGCGGGGCTCCAGGGTTCTGGGCTTCGGGATAGGCCCTGCCCCAGAGGCTCCACCAGCACACCATCCCCAAAATCCGGCATCCATCTCCAGGGCTCCATTGCCCTAAACCCCAAACTCCAACCCCTAAGCCCTAAACACCTAAGCCCTAAACCCTAAACCCTAAACCCTAAAAACCTAAACCCTAAACCCCAAACCCTAAACTCGTTAAAAGCTGGGGAATACACGGGTGCCTTCATCAACCCGCCTATACCCTACACCCTAGACACTAGATCCTGCACCCTAAACCCCAGATCCTAAACCCAAAGCCCTTAACCCTAAACCCTAAACCCTAAACCCTAAAACCCTAAACCCTAAACCCGAAACCCGAAACCCTAAACCCGAAACGCTAAGCTTAAACCCTAAACCCGAAACCCTAAACCGGAAACCCTAAACCCTAAACCCTAAACCCTAAACCCTAAACCCGAAACCCTAAGCCGAAACCCTGNNTAAACCCTAAACCCTCAACTCTCATCTGGGCTCTCTAGGAAAGCTGGCCTTCGGACTGGGCAGCCCCAAGCGGACGAAGGCCTGCCGAGGGATGGCATTGTCCTGAAAGAGATTCGGAGCCTAAACCCCCTAAAGCAATCCCTA